CACAGCAATTTGGATGAAAGCGAAAGAAAGAAGAAAAAAAAAACTGGATTGTCAGAAGTCAAGTAGACTCGGAGTTATAACACATATATATACTTTGGGGTAGGCATAATAGGTGTTAGGTTTTAGTAGGTAAAGAATAAACGCACTGATGTAAGTGCTCAAAACCATAGAATAGAAGGATGAAGAGGAACTTACTGAAAAAGGAATTTTTGCAATGATTTGTCCATATGAAACTCATATGATAAATCAAGATCCTTCAATGTGGTATTTTCATGAATTTTTTCTTTGTGGGTACATCTCCCATGAGTTGATCCCTTTAGATCATAACGACGATGAATTCGGAGTTCTGTGCAAAACATATTCCCCATCACCACAAAGCGCACCTAGAAGCAGAAAATCAATCATAAGCTAGGTGCACCATGTATAAATAAAGCCAGATGGATAACACATACCTTTCTTCTTCCCTGAAAAGTTATCTGGTGGACGGCAAAAAATTTTGTTATCAGAGTATTTTCGTGCTCTTTCACATGATCGTAATATTTTGGCAGCATCTTCAGTAAAACCTACGCAGAAGAAGATTACTTATGTAATATTTGAGGACACCTTTTAATGCTACACCTCATGATTAATTATAAACACGAATAAAAGTGAAAACATAGTGGTTTAAACTTTTAAGCTTCTGTCAGCATATGGAAAATCCTGTTCGAAATCAGGCAACTGCTAAGGTTTGATGAGTAATTGGGAAAGAAAACATGATTGAAATCGGATATATAACCATAAGAATAAGTGGCTGATATGCATGATGAGCTACATGGGTTCAAACCTTGAGTTCAGATTTTTTCAATGTCTTGATCACAAATTTATCATCATGAGACAGATAGAAGATGCTGCCACTTTTCCCCGGAGAAGAAATCTCAGTTAGACCATCGTCTCCACAAATGGACATCATGTACTCTGCAGCATCTAGCTTGAACATCTCCCTCAGATTCCTTAAGACGGAACAAAAAATAATTCCTTAAGACGGAACAAAAAATAAGTACAGAAGTATAAAAGATCATAATTCCATCGTTTTTGCAGATGATTAGAATTTAAACAAGGCAGACTAACAATCCCTTAATCAGAATTCTAAAAGGAACATTTGCATTAGGATTTTAATACCTGAAAACCATAGGACAATAGTCCTTCCAGTAAAAATCAATAGACTTGTGTGGAGGTGTAAAATGTGAACCCCTTCTAGGGAAAAACATAGTAATTCTAGCTCGATCTCCAAAATCAGCATTTCGAACCTCACGCTTAGGCACTGGTGTTATCTTGCCAACGGTATACCTGTGAATTTCAATTCAATCACTTTCATATCCCATTAACCTTAGCTGTCAAAAGACGGCAGGAAATACAATCTCAATCGGTTTACCTTATACCAAGTTGCAAATTAAGCATCAAATGATAGCTGTTTTTGCCTTTGAAAATGGCTACACACGAAATCTTTTCTGTTTCTTTGGCATGACGTTTGGTTTTCTTTTCAGCTTTCTGTGATAATTCAGTGTAATCTCTTACTCTCTCTTTAATCATAACTCCTTGCATGTATTCCCTCTCGTAAACTATGGCAGCGTTTTCTTGAACCACGCTCTGACCAGCATCAGAACCAAGAGAGAATGTGCCTGAGGAATTATGGCGTACAAATTCTCTAGTAGAACCAGAATGACTAGAACTCTCAAAACTCTTGTGCGATAATCGACCTGAACTTCTTAGAACTCCAGTTACCGAGATTTTCTCAGAAAAACTTCGCTTAACACTTGGTTTCTTGACGGCACGTTCCTCCAAATTTAGTGAAGAACATTGAGATAACCCTCTTTTAGGACCATTATCATTTGCCAAAGAGATACTTCCAGCAGGATAATACTCCTTTTCCATCTTTAAGGCCTCGGGTCCATGTTCCGAAATAATATCCCCCGTCTGCATACTGATAAATCCCGGAGCCATGTTTGAAGCCATTTAACCAACAGCCATTGTACTGATCACCGTTTCCCCATTCCATAACACCTCTACCGTGCATTTTCCCACGTTTCCAATTCCCGGTATGTTTGTTTCCGTTGTTCCAAAAATATCTACCATTACCTTCAGGCTCTCCTTCTTTCCATTCTCCTTCATAAACATCAGAGTTAGAATACTTCTTTCTTCCATATCCATGATGTCTATTCATCCTCCATTTTCCTTTGTATAAGGATCCATCAGGAGATGTAAGCATGCCGGAACCGTGAAGGTAACCCCCCGATATGTCACCATTGTACTTTTCTCCTGATGGCCAAAGTATCACTCCTTTACCTGTCATTTTCCCTCCTTCCCAATCACCATCATACACGGTTCCATCTGACCATGTATACTTCCCCTTTCCATGGGGAAGAACTTCCTTAATATCACCAACATAGAAATCTCCGTTCGAGAAGGCCTTCATATTAAGCCTGCAAGAACAAGAATTCGAAGCCTTCGTACATTAAAGAAAGGGGGACAACAAAGAAAAGGAGTAGAATGTGGTGCCGAAGAGTTGGTAATGATACCTTTCGGTATTCTGCACATTGCATGATACGGGGCAGGGCGGTTCGGCATCCATTTCAGAATCCTCATCAAGTTGATTCTTCAAGTAAGTCATTCAAGCAACAAAGATAAGAAATAATATGCCACTGTTAAAATTAAAACATAAATAATTCCTAGAATCTACAGGTAAAGCAGTAATTGTAAACTTCTATCAATCATCTTCCATGCTTTTATGTTCATGTTCTATGTATCAAGAACGCAGCTATGAAACATAACCAACTGATAATCAAGATCATAACTTCTTAAGCAGAAACTCATGAATTCGGATCAAAACAGTTATAAACTCACTTGGGATAGAGAATAAACTTAGCTCCTCCTCCTTCTGAACTAGGACAATCCGAATTCAACAACAAAACTTGAATGAAAATAAGAATAAACCCAGAATTTATACACCATAAATCTAAAGGGCAAAAAGAAAGAAAAAACTAAATGAATATCTATGATTCTTGTAAAAATAATAATAATCAGCAGCAGGCTCTGCCCCCCGGGGAATGTATTCCTCTTGAGTTGACACTTCACCTCTCCATCTCCGTCTCCACTCTTATCTCTTTCTCTTTGTTTTATTCTGTTCTGTTTCTTTTTTACTATTTTCTGTGTTATGGCCTATTGGGCATCCCTTTTTTCCATTAACTAATGTTTCGAATTCAGATTATGGGAATCATCAAATTTCTTTCCAAAACACTCTAGTTTTCTTTTTTTAAAAAGTTAAAATTTTTAGTGCAAATTGTTTGTTTTTTTGTTTTTGTCTTCTCAGTCTCTCTGTAGGAAACTAATCAGCAAATGCAACGTGGAAGACAGAGAGCAGCAATACCTTTGCCAAATGACAATCTGGGTCCCGTTGATTTTTATATATAAATATTTGGCTTTATTAACAAATGGACCTTAAACTATAGTTCGATTTGCAGTTAGATACTTAAAGTTTCCTTTCATTAGTGATAAACTATCATTTTTTCTCAGTTTCTCCTAAAAAATCTCTCTATCCTTCCATTAGAGTAGCAATTTGTCAGTGTAGCGACAGATGTAGCGTAGGGTTGGAGCGCGCTACAGTGGAAATATCTCCACTGTAGCGCAACGTTGGAGATGCTCTTAAACTTTACAATCTCTCTCTCTGCACGCTATGATTTACATCTTCACAGCATGGACTAGAATTAGCACGTGTCTAACATGCACTTAAAACATCATAGTTTTATATAGCAATTAATTATTATTTATATCATATCATATTGTATTTATATAGCAATTAATAGTTTTAATGATTAAAAGAAATGTGTGATGTAATTAATCCTAGAAAATACTATGATGCCCCATTGGATAATCAACCACTAAAGTATGACAAGACAATGACCTCTCACATTGTAAACACGAAAAGGATCCTTAATAATTCAAATGGAAAAGTAAACGATACATTCCACTCGTTTCCATTACCATTATTGACACGATGACCAGTTTGTCTTTCTAAAAAGCAAATCTACTAGGAATCACAAATTTTATGGAACATGTCCGGTAATTCAATTATGGTACCATGGGATCAACTATATTTATGTCTCACATCTACTAGAATTTGTAATTCAAATTTTATAATATAGTTTATTTGATGAAATATAGAACAAATGAAATGGTAAGATGATAGCTGGTATGATTAAAAGGCAGGCTGTGGGTGGATTTGTTTCACCCCAAAACCTAAGCTTTGGGTTAAATTGGGCTCTTTAAAGCCCAGTATTTGGTATATGAGGCCCACACCTTCACAAGAAGTAATGTGGATTTTACTCTTAATTCATTAAACTTTCTCAGCAATTAACGGACAAGAGTTTTCATGTCAATTAAATTAATCGATTTAGACATATCCTCAAAGTATGACCCTTATTTTAAATTGATTCTTAAACTTTTAAATATTTTGATTTCATCCCTAAATTACGACTATCATTCTAAATCGATCCTTAAACTTTTTAACATTTCAATTTCATCTCCAAACTATGACCCTTATTCTAAATTGGTTACAAACTTTTTGAACATTCTAATTTCATCCCAAACCATACGTACATTCTAATCACTTCTCTTGTCAATAAAATCGTTAGTCCAAGTTATATTATTAAATGTTTGGAAGAAAAAAAATTCGGTTAAATTATGGTTGAACTGACTTCATATTTGGATGAGTTTGGGGATGAAATTAGAATATTCAAATGTTTAGGGACTAATTTAGAAAGAGGGTCATAGTATGGGGATGAAATTAGAATGTTCAAAAGTTTAAGGATCAATTTAAGACGAGGGTTATAGTTTGGGGACAGTTAACCGAAATGATATGATTAAATTTTATTAAAATATAATTAACAGTAGCTAAATAGATTTCAATTTGCTTGTGCAAATTCTCTTTGAACAAGGAAACTAGGGTCGAGACAGGAGATTGAAAATAACTAAGAAAATGATGGATGTTTATTCCCCAATAGAAACAGCAATAGTGTTTCTGATTGTCTAAACTCTAAAATACTAATCACAACAACCAAGCAGCTGCATACATATCAGACAAATATGAAAGCTGTCTAGTTTTTTATATCAGATTTATGTACTTGTTCCTCATCCTTGCCATATGTCATGTCTTGTTGCTTAGACTCGGGCCTGTTGTGGTATAGTATAAGGCTATGCCTACTGTCGAAATCTTTTACAAAATGCTTCACTTTCTTCCCAGAACCTGTCGGATCTTCATGTAATAGCCCTTTGATTGCTTCGGGCATGGGTTGATCTTTCATCAAACTTCTCCAGTACTCCCCTGGTTCTTTTCTAGCATGGATAAGATTCGCAAACTATATATCCAACAAGAAAATTCAAATAAACACACTGTTAAGATAATCAGGATAAGATCGAAAATAGAATTCGAGTCGCATACTCTAACACACAATTGATATATGAAAAGAAACTGATGAAGTATTGATTTTGCTTACCAGGAGGAGAAAGCAGAAAATGAGGAAAGCGGAGAAAGTCTTCATATCTATGGTGGTAGCCTGTTGAGAAACAAGGGTTAGGTTTTGCTATTTTGTATTGTAAGCTGCTCAAGAATGACCAACCATTTATAGACCTTTAGCAAAGGGACAAGAAAGTGATGATTGTTATATGTTGTGTTTTCACTGTTTTATTGAAGAACCTATTAAACAGATAGTATTGTTATTTAACTTGATTAACTTTTGCATGATCTGTAGGCATAAGTGTCCATTAGATATAATGTTAATATAATTTAGAGCCTCAAGTTTCAAGAGTCCAATATTGTCAACATTTTTCGGGAAACTATCCCTCATCGATTAGTTAACAGGCACATGAATGACCCTTTTTCTGTCACTTTCAGTGGTGGACAATGTTCCTACACGTTTTAATGGCAAGCATTGTTGAAATCTTGTTTTGTGGTGGGAAGGAAGCTGATAATACTAAAAGCAATAACCTACTTTTGACCTATATTTTATGTTATGAACCTTTTTTCTGATAAGATATTCAAAGGATAACACCTCGAATTGATCTCACATGTCACCCAGTTGTACTTGATGTATTTCAAGCCTGTTGATTAAATTAAGTCATATCTGCAATCTGTACTGCAACAGCAAAACAAGCTTTGAAGAAGTCTCACTTTATGGCAAAAGGCAATGGATATGAAAATCTAGAAATGGATTTCTGAGTGGGACATTATCCTATCATGCCGCATTTGGAGTGATGATGTACCAAACACTAAGGGGGCGTATGGTTCAAATAATCTTGGATTATCGGAGAATGGAATGTCATTCTCCCGTTTGATTGGCAAACATTCCCAACCCCCGGTAATCCTTTATTTCCAACAGTGATATTTTGGGTATATTACCCGTAATATGATTACCCTATTTTCCTTAGGTATTGTTACATTCCCGATATTTTGGACTAAAATGTCCTTAAATTTTTTTTCTCAAAAATATCATTCTTCTATCGTTGCATAAAAAAATTCTACGAAGGTTAAATTACAAATTTATCCTTAAACTATTTTAGATTTACAATAAAAGTCCATAATTAGAATTTTATATGAAGTTTAGGGGTTAAAATAAAATTTTACCCTTTCATTAAACCTATTTATCTTTTCAATTTTGTAAAAAAAATTATATAATTTTTATGAATTTAAAAATTTTAAAGAAAATAAATAAATTATAGTATAATTCAACTTGTTAAAACAATAAATATATAATAAGGATAATTTGGTAAAATATAAATTCTAATAATTTTTTATTCATTTAACCAAATATTGTAATCGTACATTCCTGTTAAACGAACCAAACATAAAATCTTCCTAATTGAAAAGAAGGTAATCAAGTATAGCAGGAAAATAAAAAATCTTCCTAGTGTTTCGTTGACTTGAACAAATTAATCATTTCATCAACATCTAATGGCTAATGTTTGAGCAAACCAGGTTAGGTTTTTTTCTGATGAACAGTTGATGTGATGTCCTTTTCATGCACAGAGACACTAGAGAACAGCATTATCTGTTGTTTGATGTGAGAAATACCGGAGAAAACAAATTCAAGACCATTTAGTCTTAAGTTGACTCTCAAATGAAGATTACTTAGCTGAAAAGTAAATAATGCCAATCAGTCAGCAATGATGCAATACAAAGTGATTCTTACACACCACGAAAAAACTTTTAAACTTCAAAATTTTCTGTTGAAAGTTGAGCCTCTTGTTATGATTACCTTTACTCAATTAATGCCTGTCATGTGAAACATAGCCTATACCCGTATGTTTTATATATATGTTCATTTCGTTTGGTAAGATACAATATAGAAAAGGGTTTCAATTCAAAGATTTGTTCATCTTTATTAGTGACATGTTCTTATTTAATCATGGAGATGGGCCTATGTGTGTGTGTATAAATAAATATATATCCCGATATACTCTTGCATGATCCTATTGTTCATTATCAGATGACCAAAACAATACAGTTATTTTAAGTGCAATGAGAAGGGGGTGAGACTTTGAAGATGGGAAAATGGAAAAATATTGAAGGTTAGATAGAGTGTTGAGACCCCATGACAACTCTAAGTTGGCTCTTTCCAGGGCTAAAGTCAACTTGATACACAATTGTCTATCTTGTGCTTATCAAAGAATTTGTCTAGTTGTTTTTCTGGTTCAAATTTGGTTAATGCAAACAGCATCTTTATATTTTTATCATTTAGTTCGGTCTAATCTTTTACTTTTTTGTTATGACTACTTATGCTGTGATTTGCTGTGCACATGATCACTGTCTTGGCCTGATGTGCTAAAGTCAACTTCATTTGCCTATCAAACATGTAAGCTTGATTGTACCTTTGATGGGAAAATAACCCATTTTAATACTGTAAATTCTGATTGCTTCACTATCAAGGAAATAATAATAATAAAAAACTACACAAAGCAAAAGGTTTCAAAGCACTGTGAGCAGCTTTAATGAAGAAAAATAAATAGGGAGTTCCTTGAAGTTTCACTTAATCCCATTGGTCAATGTTCTATTGGTTGCTTTTGTGTTGGGGAGTGATAAAATCACTTTCATTGGAGTCTAAAGAAAGGTCAATCATTCACATTGTCAACTTTAGGCAAAGAAAAGAAAAGGGTACCTGTTTTCCATGTTATGTGGATGATATTATGTTATGCAATGTGCAAAACCTGTGCTTATATAGTTTAATATTTAATTCGGGATTTAAATCTCAACATCTGTAACTTTTATATCAGAAAAATAAAAACTTATGAAATTGCAGATATGAACCTGGTATGATCTGATGTGCTATATTGTCAAATATAAAAGAGAAATGAATCTCCTCCATAAGAATTTCAGTGGACATTCAGCTCTCTTGTTCAATAGCAATATGCTACTTTAATCATTGCAATGAAGAAATGAACAATATTTCATGCATATGTTCATTCTGTACCTGACAAGGTACGTTCTGCACTTGGGCACCCCATTGTTATATAGTCAACTCTTCTGCAGGTCTTAATTCAACCCATTCTGTTTTTTTTCTGCCAATCCAACCCTGGTTAACTTAGATTCAACCATATTTTCCTGAGAGCCCCTGGTTTTTATGATAGAGCGAGCCAACAAGCCAGATAATGCCGAATGACATAACAATTTGACCGACACCTGACCATTGGAACCGGGTTTAGTCCATTATTTTCTTACACATATATTTTATTAGTTAAAAGTACATTATTTCTGTGGAAGTTAGAAAATATATTGTAGCTTGTGTAGTTGAGCACTGTTTTTTTTTTACCAAAAAAAAAACAGAGAGATATGGGTTCTAGTTTTGCTTCTTGGTGCATATCATGTTCTTTTCTGCTTGCTTTGATGGTACGGACCAACATAAGCTTTGCTAGATTTATACTCGATAACTAACCTATTGTTCCTACTTTGAAACTTCTTCTTTCTTCAATTTTGATTGCAGGTTGTACAGGTAAGTAATGCTAGGAAGATAACTCGAAGACATCATATCGAACAAGATTCGATCAGCTCGAATTATCTGTACCAGCCTTCGAGTACCGTCTATGGAGACCATATTGACCCTTCAGGGAAAATTTTCTTCAAGATGGAAGACCTTAAAGTAGCAAAACAATGGCTGTCTACTTCACCAGCAAAGACCTTTCGGCCTCGCCAAGACTTCTCTCTAGAAAGGAAGCCGATTCAATCCCTTTCACATCAACAAAACTCCCAAATCATCGACTTGTTCGAATTCTCGAACGACTCTCATCAAGCCAAAGCCGTGGAATACACAATCAAACTATGTGAGCTCGAACCCCTCAAAGGTGAGCTAATGTTCTGCGCCACTTCCCTGGAATCAATGTTAGACTATGCTCGTTCATTGTTCGGATCAAACTCGAACATTAAAGTTTTAACTACAACGTTGCTCCGAAAGCCGGCCGTTCCTTTACAGAACTATACGATTTCGGACATTCCAGAACGGATCCCTTCCTCTAGAATGATTGCATGCCATACTTTGCCATATCCTTATGCCGTGTTTTATTGTCACACCCAAAAGAGTGAAACCAGGCTGCTTCGGGTTTCACTAGGTGCTGAGAATGGAGATAAGGTGAGAGCTATTGCTGCTTGTCACATGGATACCTCTCAATGGGACCTCGATCATGTATCGTTTCGTTTGCTGAAAATCGAGCCCGGGTCATGCCCGGTGTGCCATTTCTTCCCGCCGGATAATCTTGTATGGGTGTCTTTGTCTGCTTGATTGAACGCACTGGTCCTGGTTTAGTTCATTGTAATGATATGAATGTTATGTAACACCGTTGGCTCAGAAGCATATTCCCCCTGTAAGGCTTGAATAAAATAATTGTATTAGCCTCCCGTTTTGTATATCAGTAATAAAATAATAATGCAATCCGGAGGGCTTTTGCAGTAACTTGATCCAATCATCGAAACATAAGGTTTGGTCTGCCACAAATATCACAACTGAAACCCAAAAAAATTATTTTTAGAACAATCAGACAATTTTTTTAAAATTTCAGTGTTTTGAAGTTGCTCTCTTCCTATTATTTAATCTTGGTTTCATCGTAATTAAAAATAGTTGACGGTCCACAAGCCACAAAACGATACAAAGGGATTTGTGCCCAAAAAATAAACAGGCCCTTAGTCTACAGTTTTGTTGCGGGGGCCTCGAGGACTTATTGCTTTGTTAAGTCGTGTTCACCTTCTCGGATGGGCCTGGTGACAACCCTCTACTAATTTCCCTTCTCGAACAAATAGAAAATTTTAGCATTTTGCCATTTTCGCTTCGCATTATCTACGATCCTTTTATTCGCGAAAAAACTGGAAATCACTCCCAGAGATGGGGCTTCATATCCTTAAAACGACACCCTTCTATTCTTCCTCCTCCAAAGCTCTACTCTGTACCACCACCACTCTTGCTAGATGTATCGGTTCTAATTCTGTTGTTCCTTGTAATACTCGCTTGAGATTTCCATCTTCTTTGCCAAAGGCCATTATTTGCTCCATCTCTTCATCTGGGTCCGGAAGGTTTCTCCACCAAAGCAATCGTAGGTACCGGGGGAGCGTGGTCGTGGCTATGGCTGCTTCTGGGTCGATCCAGAAATCTGAGGAAGAGTGGCGTGCTATTCTCTCCCCCGAGCAATTTCGAATTTTGAGAGAAAAGGGCACTGAGTAAGTTTTCTTTCTAAAGAATTGACAGTGTTGATTAGAACCTTTCTATGGAAAATTGTATTTTTTTTCAACTTTTATTGTTTTTGGACCCATTAAAGTTTGTAATCTAATAAATTACATGGATAGTTGACATTTTTGGAGAATTTTGAGCTTTCAATATGCAAAATTCTCTTCTTTTAGCTGTTTTTTTTTCATGGAATGGCTTCTAGGAAGTTCATTCAAAGTTGTGGCATATGTTCTCCCAAATGGAATTTATCATACGCTTAATTGCTCAATATAATTTCGTCCGACTCATGCTACGTAAGTCCTATGTTTCTCCACTCTAGTTTAAGTGTCGGATTTGGGTATTTTATCCTACATTTGTACGGTTAGATTTTTCCAAGTTTTTGCATATATTTAAGGATCTTAAGTTCATATACCATATCCAAGTGTCGGACACGGGTGCTTCATGGAAATGAAGAGTCCGAGCACATAGCTCAAGTCAAATTCATGATAAATTCATAGCAATACTTTGATACTGTATAGGTATCCAGGCACCGGAGAATATGACAAGTTCTTTGGTGAGGGTGTTTATAACTGTGCAGGATGTGGCACTCCGCTCTACAGATCTACAACGAAATTCAATTCTGGCTGTGGTTGGCCTGCTTTCTATGAAGGTCTCCCTGGAGCCATTAATCGTAATGTGAGCTTCCGTCATCCGTTTCTGCTCTGTCTTAATACTTTTCTTCTGTATATTCTAGTGTTTTCTTTGTACTATCTTAAAGCTGGTGTATCTTTCAACTAAATTTTACTAATGGTGAGAGTTTCACGTTTAACAGCTGGACCCAGATGGGATGAGGATTGAGATTACTTGTGCAGCTTGTGGTGGGCATTTAGGCCATGTATTTAAAGGTGAAGGGTTTCGAACGCCCACAAACGAACGCCATTGTGTCAATAGCATATCACTCAAGTTTGTTCCTGCTAATTCTGGGCAGTAAATCCTGTTATGGTAGCAGATATGTTGGTACTATTCATTATTTATAGGAAACATGGCCATAATGGCAGTAAATTCTGTTTAATTTCAGAGTATTTGATTCTATGCTATCTGGCAGAGAAGCCTGTTGTAAATTCTTTGCTTGAACTACTTTCAGTTTATCACATATTTTCAACTCATTTTCCAGTGCAATGTGAGCATCAGATTAACAGTTGCATTTGTTACAATTCCTGCATTGATGTTGAAAATTATCATCCTTTCTCATTCCATGTTTCCTCGGAATAGATTTTGATATGCTCATCATGCTTCATCCATGCTGGTTTTTCAAAATCAGACTCCAACTACAGCAATTCTACTCCCTTTGCGGTCACAGCATTTTCGTACTATAACTGTGCAGCTTAAATACAAGATTACTTACATATTTCATTCTTCTAGCACAAATGTTACAGCTTAAATACAAGATTGCTTACAAAGGAACTTGGAATTCCCTCAAGTGCTATTAAAATAATTCAAGAAGCAAATAAATAAATAAATACTTAAAAGAAAAAGGATGACTAGTGACTGAGACGATTACGATACACAGTGCATTATGCTACTCTCTTTGTGCAGCTTTTTGGCACATGAAGGGTATGGAAGTTTGGTTCTTTTGGACTGTTCCTATGCCTTGTTTGCTGAGATGACAGTGCATTATGCTACTCTCTTTTTGCAGCTTTTTGGCACATGAAGGGTATGGAAGTTTGGTTCTTTTGGAATGTTCCTATGCCTTGTTTGCTGAGATGACGCCTTCGCTAAGGAAGTTCCACTATTGTTAGGATCCGATGTTTCCTTGGGGGATCTGGGGCCTGGGCAGCTTCTTCCTACTAGATGCTACCCTGTAACTGGGAATATGATTTAACCCCTTACAGAACATACGAATTCATATTCATGGGATTTTTCCAGCTTACTACTTACCCTCGTGGTCTTACTAATTGTTTGATGATTGATGGTGATTTATTCTGTCTGTCCTTGGATTTTTGAGCTGCCTTGTCTTGACCTTTTTCCATCATTGATGGAAATGTCATTTTCTGATGCATAAGAACATTACGATTTTGTGGAGTACCAGAAGAAATCTTCGTTTCCGCTGATCCTTTAGATTTCTTCGAGCTAGAACTCTTGATGGTTTGCTACAAAGTACGGTATAACTTCAGCAAACTAGCTAGATGACCAATGAACAGCTATGGAAAGCAAATAGAAAATTAACTTACTGGTTGATCTTCAAGTGTTACTTTATCTGATCCATTGTCACCGATATCGTTTATCTGCAAATAGAAAACCATTAGGTCAGGGCTATGTTTACTCCCTGGTATAATGAGTGTAAGCTCAAAGAACTCACTTCTACAGTCTGATGTTTCCTCAATGAATTTCCAACTTGGGGTCCTGTAAAGGTTGTTTCTTTCAATGGTGCTTGAAGATGCTTCTTCTCAAAGTTTGCCTCTTTTAAAATTCCTCTTTCCTGAAGCCAGAAAATTGTCAGATAACATGGAAACAGTTTATGCCTCTTTTGTTTTCAATAATATCTACTCAATAAATGATGCATACATCGGTCCTAAGTCGAAAAGGCTTGGGATTTGTAAGCTTTGGTTTTCTGTACTTCATCCCTTGAGCACCTTTATCTGCTGTAGAGTTTTCTTTCGTTGTCTTATTCATTACTTTATTACCCTGCATAATCACGAACAGATATTAGAAAATCAAATGGTGATACACAAACTGTCACGAAACAGATATTACACAAACAAAAAATTCGACTTTAGTTATAAAATAAGCTACCTTTTGAATGTTTTTAGAGGTTTCATGCCTCCCAAGAACATCCCTTTTCACCTGCTTTCCCGTAGCACAATTCAATTGTCTGCAATTAAATGTTGTACAAATTCAATGGCGAATGCAGGTGAATAATGAGGACAAAAGTATGAAAAAACATGTCATGAATTCCATACCTATTTTCACCAGAAGTTGTTGCATTTTCCTTATTGCTTTCACTGACTCTGATGTTCGATGCCAAAGCATTTTCTTTGTCGTCATTCTCCGTTGCTTCTGAGATTTCAATGTCCTTAGAACACGGTTTAGTGTTCTCTTCGTGGCTGCTGCTCTCATTAATTTCATTGTCCCCTTCAGACTCTGAAATTTTGACATTCTCGCCAATTGCTTGCTCCAAGCTATATGAAGGATTCTTCGAAGCACTTTCAACCGAGTCCTTTTCAGTTGGTTTAGGACACATAGGGGCCTCGGACAACGGCAAGTCTTTGTTGCTGTTCTTTTTCTGAAAACGTTTTAAAGATTTAGCTTCCTGAGTCTTCTGCTTCTGGCAATGCAAAGAATCATACACTCGGCTTTTAACCTCTCTCCCTCTCAACTGTTTCCTTGGAGCATCTAAAGGTTTATTATTACACCCCAATGCATTCTTCTTACTTCCATCGTTTATCTCAAGCTTCTTCATCCCTGTACATATCTTCCTCAACGAACTACTCAGTTCTACAGACTTCTTCAACTTCACTACCTTCTTTGGAGAGTGAAACACCAAAGCCTTTGCCACCACTCTATCCTTTGGTACCATAATTGTAGTCGGTTTTGGATTCTGAGCACTTCGAAAAGTAGTGGGATTCGGGAGTGCTTTTCGATTCCTTGGTGTAGTCAAGGCCTTAGTAGATGATTGATTTGCTGCCTTCACATTTGATGTAGTTGAACTCTGCTTAGCAACATGTCTCACCCTCACTTTTGCTTCACCCATCTTTTGTGAAATGGATGAAATCATAGCCAATTTTGATACTCTGGACTTTGAAGACTTAGCAGGAACGGTACGGGGGCATTCCAATTTTGACCTAAAATCACAATAAAGAAACAAATTGATGGAGAGAGCAAAAATGTAAGTCTCAATGAAGAAAAACAGATAAGAATTTCCATGAACATACCTTGAGTCTCTTTTGCAAAGAGCTTTTCTAATCCCAACACTTGGACTCCTAGCTGCCATAACCTGAAAGATTCAGTTGTTTAAGTTGAGGAATGACTTTAAAATATGAGGAAGTGTGAAGGGAAATAAGGGGGTACAAACCCTAAGAACAAATTTTTTATAAATTTCTTCAGAGTCCATTTCTTCTTCATGCTTTTGATCACATCCTGAGAAACAATAACAAACAAAATCATTGGGACATAACAACGAGCACTTGTTTTTTTTTTGTTAACCAAACTTACTGAAATCCATATACAAATCGAAGCTTTAACTTCTCCACATAATCAATTATAGCTTCAATGAAACACAGAACAAAAGTTTTTTCTTAAAAAAGGAAACTCACCGACACGTAGGCAGAACCAGTAACGGTCGTCGTGTTCAGTGCGGCAACGATCAGGTGCGGAGAGGTCCACGAACTTGGGAGCCTCAATCTCCTCGTAGAAATCGTCTCCGATTACTTCTTCACCGCCGGCACCGTTGATCTGAAAATCGTCCATTTTTAGTTGCCGTAGATCTAAGATCCGACGAAGAGGAGCGTGAACTAGCCGGTAGAGAGAGGCAAAAGGCTTTTGGCACTTGGTATTTTTTATTTTTTGTTCACTGATAGCCGTTTCCCAAAGCCAAATGTTTTAAATTTGTAGCAGGTGCAGAAACTAGCCGTTACGGACATGATCGTAATATAGTTTGCATCATAAGGGTTTTATTTTGTAAACTGGTCATTGGATAGTTGAGACACAACACAACCGCTTCCGCCTGTCCATTCAAGCATTCCTCAACTAATAAATTAAAATAATTCCATTTTTTTCAGAAACAAGTTCTTTATTCCCTTTCAACGTTTATATATTTATATATTAGACAAAAATAGTGTTTTAGTATTAAAATAATTAACCTTTATATTTTGAAATATATTTTACAATTAAAAAAATACATTGACTAATATGATCTCAAAGATTTAACTTTTTAAGTAATGGACTAAATATCAGACCAAACTACAAATCAAACATCAAATGAGCAAAAGTCATGATAATCAAGCTAATGAAAAAGGTATGAACCTTTCTCATCCAATATCAAGTGTTTCTTAAATGATGGAAAAAATATCGTCTTTTGGGATGATCCTTGGACTGTTGTCCCATCACTTCGCGAGGCTTATCCGCGGATATATAATGTTGCTTTAAAGAAGCAGGGGAATGGTTTGTGAATTTGGTTCCAGGATTAACGGATTATGGTCCTGGAACATCGAAATTAGAAGGGTGTTATTTGAGTGGGAATTACGCATTTGGGATGCATTCATGAGCACAATCTCTAACGTGGTGCGAAATTTTTCCGTTGCTGACTCCTCGGATGGCTTGTTTTCTCCTGGAAGTTTTTGCTGGTTTGTATATTCTGCCGACGCTGTTATATACCCTATTTAGTAAATCGTTTGGGCCAACCTCGTGCCACGGATTTAACTTAGTTGGTTTGGTTGCTAACCCGTGCGCACTTGAAAGGGACGCTTCCCCACCAACCTTAATCTCGTATATCTGATCAAACACAAACATGAATCTGGTTAGATCTTCGCAACAACAGGGCCCTTCGACCAAAAACCGAGACCGTGGGGCATATCGGATGCACCTGGTCGACCTCAGACTTCTTCGAGGGTAAAAATGTTTTATTAATGGGAAAATAACATCAGGTTATATAAAACTCACACACACCATCGACTAAGTCGTATGGGCAGCCCTCAATGGTGTTCACAGATACGTATCTTTACCTGTGGATCAGCTCAAACTCTATTGACTGCCCACCCCTACATATATGTGAAAACAAAAGAACATAAATGCTACAAATAGACATTAAAATGCTTGAAAAGAGGACAAGCTTACTCTACCCTGCCAATAGGCCCTATACATGATTGGTTTTGGCGTACCTACTCGGTTGTGGCCCCATAAAAGGGACGACCACGACATTCTCCCCCACCTAATTTGTCGACGCCCTCGTCAACTGCATTGCATGAAATTCTTCGATCTTTTCCTTGAATGCCCTGAGGTCATACCCTCTCTCCCAATTGTTCTCTTCACGATCAAGGCCTCCCCACTTAACTAGATACTCTCGTCTTTGCTTGCCACCCACCTTAACCACTCTACTTGCAAGAATCTTATCAACATGTCGTTCTGAAGGTGGTTGCGTACAAATCAACTCTATAGCAGACTGACTCCAATTGTCGTAATTGGGATCGACATGGAACGACTTCAAGTTGCTCACATGGAAGACTAGGTGAACTCTCATCCAAGCAGGAGGGTCAACCTTGTACGAATCATTTTCCACTCTTGCTACTATCGAGATCGGACCTTCATACTTGCGCACCAAGCGACAATCTCTCAGGCGCAAGAATCTAAGTTGTTCTGACATCAACTTGACTAGCACCAAATCTCCAACTTGAAAATGCATATCCCTTCTGTTACGATCTACACATTTCTTCATCCGCTCCGCTTCTTTCTACAAGTAAGCATTGGCAATCTTAGTATTCTGCTTTCATTCCCCCAAAAAAATTCGAGGAATGATGGCATCTTCCTTGAGAAGTCTCATCCATCGTGTAAGGAAGTCTCGACTGCTAACATGTCACTAGTTCAAAAGGGCTTTTATTAGTGGATGAACTCTTTTGTGAATTAAAACACAACTGTGCAACATCCAACAATAGAGGCTAGTTTTTCTGATTGGCCTGAATGAAATACCTCAGATATTCCTCCAAGAGCTCATTAAATGGCTCAGTCTGCTATCTGTTTGAGGGTGGTAACTCGACGAAAAGTTGAGTTGTGTTCCCACTAACTTGAACAAACCCTTCCAGAACTTCCCAATAAATCTTTCATCTCGATCACTAATTATGCTCTTCGGAAGGCCCCAATATTTCACTACATGTTTGAACACCAACCTAGCGACCTCTTCAGCCAAACAATACTTCGGTGCTGATATAAAAGTGGCATACTTTGAGTATTTGTCCACTACTACCAAAATAGATCCAATATCTCCAACCTGTGGCAAGCTTGATATAAAATCCAAGGAGATACTCTCCCAAGGTCGAGCAGGCACCGACAATGATTCCAGCAACCCAGCTATCTTCTATCGGTCCACCTAATCTTGTTTACAGATGAGACATGTCTTGGTGTAGTCCATCACATCTTGGAACATTTGAGGCCAATAATACCCCTATCCTAACAAATCAAAAGTGCACCGCCAACCAGGATGCCCAGCCTATGGGGTATCGTGACATTCCCATAATAACTTTTGCCGCAAATTTTCAACTCGGAGAACAAACATTTGTGGTCCCTTTGTCATCAACAAGCCATTTTAAATCCAAAAGCACTTCGAATGACCCTTCTTAACCATCTCCATGAGTGCCACCACTTGTGGATCTTGCTTGGAATAGTTCATAATAAGCTGACGAACGTTGTTGGACACTCTACTCGCATATATGGGAAGTAAACGTCTGAATGCTGCCAAATCCGCCTTGCGGATCAGCTACCTGATTGTTTTCCCTGCTTTGTGCTCGAAATTGAAATCGAACTCTGCTAGATACTCTTGCCATCTAGCTTGCTTCGCTGTCAGCTTCGGTTGAGTCAAAAAGTGGCTAACTTTCGTATTATCCGTCTTTACCACAAAATTGGAACCCAACAAATAATGCCTCCAAATCCTCAAACAATGAATTACTTCTAGAAGTTATTTCTATGGGACATATATCTCACTTCAGTCTTAGTTAGCTTCCTCCTCTTGAATGCCACGAGATGTCTATCCTATAACAGTACCCCTCCAATTGCGTAATCTGACGCATCCGTCTCCACTTCCAGAGGTTTCTCAAGATGCGATAAGGCAAGAACTGGCTCACTTATCACGACCATCTTGAAATTATCAAAGGCCTCCTGACATTCCTTTGACCAAGCCCACTCACTTCCTTTCTTCAATAAATCAGTGAGTGATTTCACCCTGCAGGAATAGCCCTCCACAAAACATATGTAATAATTGGCCAAACCGAGGAAAGATCTAAACTCACTAATTGGCCAAACCGAGGGAAGATCTAAGCTCACTTCAGTGAATGTTACAGGACAATGCTCTGCATTCTTAGCATAGAATCCGATACAATATTATAAGCAATGCTACTAAAAGAAAATAGAATAAAAAATATAAAAGCAGATGGCCTTTCATGTCAGGTTTAAAACCGAGGCAACAGGTCAAATGATACTGATTCAATTGTAAAGCTGCTTGAATCTTCTGCAAACTTCCAAGACATTCTCCCTGTGACCAAATGCGCTGACCCTGATGAAACCTTCACCACCTGGTCCGAAACCACTTCCAGGCGTAGTAACAATGTGGGTCTTCTCAAGTATCTCGCTGAACACATCCCATGAGCTTTGGCCCGGAAAGTGGACCCACACATATGGAGCATTCTGTCCTCCGTTCACTTTAAACCCAAGCGAGTTAAATGTCTCTACTATAATTTTGGTATTTTTTTTATAAAAGACAATCACCTCTTGCATTGCCTGCCAAGAAACAAAATCCGAGATCATGAAATTAAAAAATAGGCTGTGTATGAAAATTTCAGAATATTACAAATTTGGCGAAGCTGAACGCAAAATATTCGAAAAGGTCTCTCCATGTTTTGACAATAAAGCTGGGCAATGACACTAACCTCAAGCCCTTCCTGTGAAAGGCAAGCCAAGCCACCAGCTTGGGAAATATTAGACGCACCATCAAAGCAAGTACAAACAATACGATTGAAGTACTTGGCAACAGGAAATCCATCTGAGAACAGAAGCTGTTTTGGAACAACAGTCCAACCGAGACGAACTCCAGTAAACCCATCATACTTGCTAAAGGAAGCTGTTTCAATTGCAATCTACAATAACAAGGATATTTACACCTCAAACATGTATTTATCCTTACCGCGCTCACAACAAGCACTGGTAAGAAAAAATTGTTAAGTCCAAAGTTAACCTCTTTTGCTCCAGGAATTTCAAAGATAGAACGTGGGTTATCATCTGACATATACAGGGCATATGCAGAATCATAGACTATGATAGACCCATTGTCCTTTGCAAACTGAACCAATCGAGTCAACTGCTCTCTTGTTGCAGAAGCTCCAGTAGGATTGTTAGGTGAACAGAAGAATATGATGTCTGTTCTGGCAACAGTGGATAAATCAGGAAAGAAACCATTCTCTGGTGTACACCTCATATACTCAATATTTGCAAACTTTTCAACATCCTTTTCAAACTGTCCAGTCTGACCCATGATAACACTGTAATCTACATAGGCCTACACAGAATAGAAAAATTTAGAAAGACACAAAACTCGATCATTGTAAGAGACCTTGGCCGGACATAGCGAGTGGAGAAATGACAAGGCTGAGTGATGCCAAGTTTCAAGAGGGTGATGGGAATATCTAAATCAGAATTCCACAAGTCTGTCTCCTTTCAAATAAACAATCTAAAAGTATGTTCATTGAAGCTTCATACACCAGATGACCAGACCAACCCAACATGATAATTTAACATAAGAATATGATAAATTGAAAAGGATTGATACATAACACAACAAAGAAAAGTTACCGGGTATGATGGGTCTTGCACTGCCATTGTAACATTAGATCCAAAAATAACCTGGCCCAGAGTGAAAACAAATCCATCAAGATTAATTTTGTTAGACAAGTTTAAATCAAACATCAACTACTTCAAGAAGAGGTAAGGCAAGTTACTTTCAAAGAATTATTAAATCAAACCTGAAGTCGAGATATGTCACATTGAGCACCATCTGAGACAAATATATCATCCTCCTCAATGCCAAGGTTACCATAAAATGTCGAAGCAAGTGCAGCCCTCAATGCCTGAAGAAATTAGCATTAAGGTTGTGTCTTTGAATAACATTAATGGACTTAACTTATTGTCCCAGTTAATCCAATTTGGGCCTTTAATTTGTAGTTTGACGAATAACTTGATACACCCCCCCAACTACTGATAAAACCAAACCATAACCTTATTAATAAGCTTCAACTTTGAAGCCTCTACTGTTTACAATGAAGACTCAAAACGATGACATACTTTCTCACCTTGCTCAGCTCCATAACCACTGTAACCCTCCAGCGTAGACAATCCATGAGACCTCTGACAAATAGAAAATAATTCAAATGGATATCAGCTTAATTTTGTACTCATCCATTGGTTCAGACACTACTTGTAAACATAAATTCTTCGCAGCAGAATTCCTACTGCACGGGCTTGAATAGATTTTAATGATGGTAGTGAGCACTGAGCAGAGAAATATTGACTAAACACAGAGATTTAAACCTAAAAAAAGGAATAATTACCTTATCCATTGCAGAAGTAATAACATCTGGAATAGGTTCAGTTATCACCAATTCCAAGGCTAATCACTTGTGCATTTGGGTACTTGAGCAAGTGCGCAGCTCTTCTTCTAGCAATCTATTACACCATTTAAAAGAACTACTCTCGACATCAAATAAATAATAGTCCGGTCAAACAACTGAGCAAACCATGCCTTCTTACATAAAACTAAAATACAATCAAAAGCGAAGCATTCCAAAAACAGGACATGGAAAACATAATTTGTGTCTCAAGGGAAAAGTGTGTGCATAACATTAATGGCAACAAAGAAAAGCATTACACAAATGAGAAATACTACACGCCTCCGGAAACAGGTAACCAGCTTGAAGTTTGGCAATGTTCGCATTGCGAGAAACCTGTCTTGTAAGCTTCAAAACAAACAGCAACAGACATAGCTCCATTTAATCATAAGTATAAATATCAGTAAGTCATTTCTGCTACTAATGAACTGTTCTTAGTAACATTACCAACTCAACAACTCAACATCAGCTTCAAAACAACAAAATTAAAGCTTCCATATGCCAAAGAAATATTGTAATAATAAGGAAAAAGTGTAAGAAAATCACCAGTCTGTTGTTCTTGAGGAGTGGTAATACATTTAACAATATACTTTCTAATATTAATCAAATTAATATTATTTAATATGAAAAAAAACTAAAAATATCAAAATTTGGTACATTAAAAATGATTAATTTTGAAACAAAACTAAAAAGATACTTAAAATTAATAGAATAAAAATAATTGATGAAAACAATATAAAAATTGAACTTAAATATATGTAAATAATTATTTATTTATAAAAATTTTGTCTACATAAATTTTTAGCATATGTGTTAGTTCACAAAGTAAATAATTGTAAGTTTATATAGAAAAAGAAAAAGCTAAGTTTTAAATTTTACTAAAAAGAATTTAAATGAATTCAAATATTTTTTTAAAATAATTTAATGACAAATGGACGCTTTTTTAAAAAAATTAAAATAATTTTTAAAATATATTTTACTATTTTTTTTCGAATTCAAGGAAAAATTATTTCATAAATTGTATTTTTCTAATCAATAAAACTTTCTCATTGATCGAATTGTATCATGTAAAATAAATACACGTATAGTAAATTATACTTTTGAAAGATACAACTTACAAGTATTCGATTAATAAATAATGATTTTTTTTTAAAAAAATCGGATTAATTTGAGAAATAATTATATGTTTTTGATTAAGAGAAATAATAATTTTAACAGTGATATTTGGATAAAAAAATTCAGTCACCTAGTGCAACAGAAACTGGGACCCATCTATTTGTCATGTTATTATCCGACGTGGCAGATACCGTATCCGCGCTAATGAAAGGACAATAACATTTACGCGTTAATTTTAAAATAAATATATATTTAGGAAATGTGAGAAAACCTCCTCTCAATTAGAAGTCTTAGGTTAGGGTTTTCGATACCGAAGGACATGTGATTGCTTCAATTGATTCGGGTTTTCACTTTGGGATTGCATCAGTCCTTCAAGTGATTGGGTAAATTTCCCCCCTTTTCTTATTTTTTTTATTTTGAGGAGAAATCGTACTGCTTAAATCGTCTATGAGAAAACGAATTTATATTTCTTTGTAGGGATTTTTCGATTTGAACTGCTGGTTTTTCCTTGGAATTTAAGGATAATGAAAAGGGGCATTCTTTTGATGTGCCGATGCATGTGAATACGGTCAAATGAGTTGAATTATGCCTTCGATAAATAGATTTTATTTTTGTTTATATTTTATCAAAGTTTTGGAATGGATTCTGTTTGCTTTTGTGCTTGTTTGAAAAACTGGATAAATACGTGTTGGGTATTTTAGAAGTCATCTGCTGTAAGATTTTTTTTTTGTTTTGTTGAATTTGAATTATCGGTTTTTGAATGGGAAATATGTTAATTCTTCTGGGTTTGAATATGCTTTTGCCGCTTAGATGGATCTGGAAACTGAAAACAGAATAGCTGCTATTCTCTTGAAAGAAGCGGCTGAACTTAGGCGGCAAGCAGATAGGGAAGGTGTCCATATTTATTGTCAGCAGCCAAAAGCAAGGGGTCGGTCAAATTCACGGTTCCTCACTGCAACTGTGCTTGGTGTACAGCAAGGTTAGTTATCTTTTCGTTCTATCAAGCTTGCATATTCTTCTGTACGCTTCTAGATTTAAGTGTTGTAATTGATGGTGAGTTCTCACTACCTATACTTGCTGTCTAATTCTAGAGCGAAGTTAGGTTATTATATAAATCCCAATATGGATATATGAGAGAAGAACTAAGAGCTTTTACATGCCTATAACAAATTAGTGTTTTCCTAGGTGCCCTTCCAAAGTACAATTATTGCACACATGAATCTTGTAAAATAGTAGAAAATAAAATGACAATCTTTTGATTTACCCCTTCTCGACCTGTAATTTCTGCTGCCTTGTTTTTGGATAGTTTTGAACCAGCAATAAACATCTATTGATGTTCTTATGCAACTTGGTTTAATTTCCCCCTTGTAAATGATTTGTCCCTTTCACATTTTGTTGCTAATGTGTGTTTTGTTGTCTGTGCATGTTTCTTTCCCCTTCTTTCTCAGCTAATCGTGCTGTTGAAGTGAATGAGATGTGGCGGGTAAGACAAAAGGAGCTGGAGCTAAATGATAGGCTAAAAGGAAGATCAAAAAATGGTACCAAGCTCAGCAGGAGTTATGGGGACAGTAGCAACTCCTCCAGAAGGACCAGTGAAAAGCATGAGACCGATTTGAGTTCTTCATCCTCATCAAGCAAGATAATAGCTGAGAGTTCTTATTTGGGGGAAGATGAAGGTCTAAGGGATGAAGAGATTGAGAAATTTCTTCAGTCAAGGTTTACCTGCAACCGGCTGTAATTTATCTTCCCACATTTATATGAGAACGAAAACTGTTATGTATGAAGAAACAGTGGTTTATTGACTGACTTGAACCTGTTTTACAATGACAGGGTAAAGCGCGGTCGAGGTTCCGTAGGTTCGAGGATGGATGAAACTGGACCTTACCTACCCACAAATTCCCACTCCCCGGAAATGTTGTCAACATACCCTATTGCGAGGGAACATCGGGTCACATTAGGTCCTGAGAAGCCTTCTTCACTGACATCTGATGAATCTTTTTCTGATGAGGAGCTTCGAGAACATAGACGGAAGAAAGAGAAGGACCTCTCTAAGAGCTCAGAAAATAAACATAGAAGAAAACACAAATCTAAAGAAAAATCGATAGATAAGAAAAGGAAGAGGGAGGAGAAAAGAAGAAAATATCGCTAGTGTATAAAAGGTTTTACACAAGCTAGTTTTGTCAATTGATTTATGTAACATTTGGATCGGTAGTAGCTCTGTAAAAACGGATTGTTACTTGTTCTATGATGAAAATGAGAGCATTTGGGAAGTTGTGGACTCAAATTTGATTATTGAAGAGATGATGCAATACTCTTGGTATAGGGTTTATATGGTCGACAAGCACAAATAACTTCTGATTTTTAAATAACCTTACATTTATGAATGGATTACTTGTTTTCGTCATACATGGTTCAAAAATATAGTTTCCTCAACCGCCTAATGTATATTGTATGCAACTAGTACAGCCTCACATGTGCCCATAATAACCTCTTAACAAACCAAATTAAACTACGTGCCAGACAAGAAATAACAAGTGCTCGGTATCGCAACAAGGCAAGTCAAATGACATGAGTCCTCATAATGATGGTCTGTCTCGTCGAATATCTCCTCCTGGCCAAGTGCTCGGTATAACAACAAGGCAAGGCAAACGTCATGAGTCCTCGTAATGATGGTCCGTCTCGTCGAATATCTCCTCCTGGCCAAGGTCACATAAGGTAAATGTGTGAGAAATGGTTCACAAACATGAAATTAGAAGCATGATAACTCTGATAGGTACCTGTAAAAGCTCTTCAATAACATCTTCCATTGTTATAATGCCAACAGCCTCCTCTTCTTCGGGGAGCTTTGGGAGTGGATTGCCATTTAGATGTAGGATGTCTGAATCCATACCCTTTGTCAACTTCCTGCTCCGAGAACCACTTCTGAAAGAATTATGTGTAGCAGGAAAGCTCTTCCACTTCTTAAGTGAACGTTTACGCCTTAAAGCATTATCTTGTGGATGTTTCTCACCATCAATGTCAACTTTCACTTCCGGAAAAGGGCCTATTTTAAGAGAGGATCAAACAGTTATAGAAAACAAGTTTTAATGGAAGGCTAACTGGAAAAGTGGAACTTCGGAGAGAATGTTCCAATTAAGAGGGTGATACTTACTCATAGAAGAGTCGTTGGAAGATAGCTGCTCTGTCTTTTTGCACAGTCTTACAACAACAGCCATATGGCTATGTCCTTTTTGGAATTCATTTAATATATCATACAATGGCAATGTTTCTTGAACCCTGTAACAAGCACATATATACACATATAAGATCAACCAATGAGTGTAGCGTGGACTGTGAATTCTTTGCAGAACAACACAAATACAAGTCGTCCATTTCTTTTATAGTTGATTTACTATAAGATACCTTGGAATCCTTCGTATAGTGACACTCTTCACAGGCACTTCATCTTCAGGGTGAACTGTCAATAAATTCTTGACCTGCAAGATTAAAAGATAAGCCGTGTTTAGTGAGGTCTCAATTCCTTTCAAAAAAATGTAAAATCTTAAGGAATAGGGAAAGGTCAAATAAGTAAAAATATATATAATTGTTCAGAAGGGGACTCGTACTAAATGTACCACCAGATAATAAGTACTTAAGGGAAAATCTTAAGAGAAATGGAGGTACAAAGGTGGTGGGATTCATTAATGATTCATGCAACCATTAGCAGGGGTTAACCAGAAAGCCCGTTATGTCATAGAGCATCATCTAGTTCAAAATTTCATGTTAAAGGGAGCAGTTTGAAGGGAAGTAAAAAGATAAGTTGGAAACAATTAAAAAACATCACTTGGAAAACCATAAATGATAATAGTTTTAGTCAAAGAAAAATGATTACCAGAACAAGTCCAATAATGTTTGTAGGGTGCTCATAATAAACTGGAACTCTGCTATGCCCTTTTTCCAATATTAAACTCATCAACTCCCTGTCAATAGCAAGCATGTAAATTACAAAACCAAATGAAAGTTGAAGTAGATATGCAAATGCCATCTTTCTTGATAATTTACAGAAAAACATACCTGTCAAGCTTGGCATTAATATCAATTGCAAATGTTTCAGATATGGGTGTCATGGCATCTTTAGCTTTTTTCTCAGTGAGCTCAAGTGCTCCAGCTATAATTGTTGTCTCATCATGTGTCAGTTCTCCACCTTTGCCAGCCTAATAAAGGTCCAACAGAAGGATCGTAACTCTGAAAGTTATGATGAATGAAAGCATATCCTCTGAAAGAAGGCATTGCACTTCAAAAGGCAAAGACACATCAAGAATTTTACAATTGAAAATAAGGAAAGTCAGAAAGTAACAACAGAGATAAATTAATGGTCAAAAACAAACATTGATTTTGATAAACAGAAACAACCAAGATAATAACTAGTTATAGAAACAAGCAATTTAAACAACTATAAGGAAAAGCTTGGATGCAAACCTCGTTGCCATGAAATTTACTAGGGTTTTCAACTCGGCTCTTCGAAAAAGTGCTACATGTCCATGGCCCAACAGATAGTCTAAGAGCTGAAAAAAACACACAGAAGATCAGCCACGAGAGCAATCTGCAGGAACTACATGCTTGGTTGTCCTTCTCACCCTCATAAAAGCATTAAACGTGAGTATTTCTAGCAACATTCATCACCTTGCTTATCGGGTACGCAACAGGAAAACAGATCCAAACAAGAACTCGAACGAATGGAGCTACTGTTGCACCAATTGCCAAACCGTATCGAGAACAAATAGATTGTGGTATTATCTGCACAAACAGTTAAATTGCAATTAGGATTTAGGACATCAAGAGAACTTGATTCCTTTTTTAACATCTATAAGTAATTTCACTTTCTAAGAGCAAGTCTTAAGCCATAAATATAATGGTTGGAAAACAATTTTTTAAACCAACGGTTGCAACCTTTGGGGAAAAAGCTGCTCAGCCAAACTTTTAGCAAATAATATCCGAGTAACATCAAAGTTGCCATATCGCAAATAGTCATGTTCAGTGTTTAACAAGGATCTCTAACTCTAGCGAGTTCAAAAGCACTTCAAATAAGATAAGCCAAGGTGGACTCACCTCACCAAACAGAAGAATCAAGGTCACTGAAATCAGGATAGCACCCCAAGCTGTGACCAGACCATCAAGGAAAATGGGAAGTGCCTGATGAAAATAACAAAAAAGTTCCAAACATTAAATAACATCTTCAAACACATGAAACCAGATCAAAGGACAGGTCGAAGGTGTATCTATAACACATACCTCCATCGCAGCAGCATTACATATAAGTAGTGTACAAAGCAACAAATGCTGTCTTCTAACAACCGGCAATATTTTTGCTGTTCCAAAAAAGGATAAAATCAGCATGTGTAACCTTTAATCTTAATGCTTTACATGCAGAGTACAGCAATATCTGACAATAATTTCAATAACTATCGCTTAATTTCAGAAGCACAATCCAGTTTTGTCATGTAATTTTAAAGTCTATCCTTGAAGTTCAAATTTTGCTGCATTTCAGGAACTAGGCAGTTAGACCTTATCAATTAATATTCATGTATTGGGTTCTTTCATTAAACTGGATTTTCCAACGAAAGAAAACCCCATAAATTTCAAAGAACAAGTTAAATTAAGAAGAAACGTAGCTCGATTAAAGCAAAAATAAAAAGTAAAGCTATTTACGCAAGCTAAATCAGAGTAGAAACGGATGAAAATGAAGAAGAGAAGTTTACCAGCATATATACGATCCTTGGGAGTCCCAGACTTGGCGAGAACCTCAAGATCAACGAGACTCATCGACATAAGGCCCAAAGTAAGGCCCGACATCAACCCGGCGAACATCACCAGCAATACAATCACCAATATGTGAATAAAGAAACCCGTCTGACAACAACTGTACTCCACCGCCATTCGGCTTCTACCTCTCTATCAAAACAACCTAAAAAATCAAAATTAAAAATAAAGAAACAGCTAGGGGTTTTGTTAGAGAAACGAGGAAGAGAAGACGAGGAACGTCCTCCATTACTTACGGAAGCAAATTTGTTAAGAGGTGCTTTGAAAGAAACAAATGAGTAAAGCAAAAGCAAAGTTGTATAAGAAAATGCCTTTTGTGGATGAAATTGAGAAACGCCAACAAATAAGGATCCAATCTATACAGTTGTGATTTGCGAGTTTATCGGTTATCGAGCTCATGTCTATGATTAACTAAATAAGTTATGAAGATGATATACCTACGTGTCCCGCTCTACTGCCAGCGTGTGTTTTCAAAACATATTATAATTATTTCTCTCTCAGACTTCCTATGTAACCCGTTTCTATCATCAAATCTATTTTAAGTGGCGACCTCTTCCATTCATATCTCCGCTTATTTTACTTTACACAAGAACCCTTCCTCATTAATTTTTAAAATAATAATTTATTTTTGGTTAAAATCCAGCATTTCAATTATATTTTTTTAGGTATTTAATTTAAATTTCTGTCATCTTATATTTTATTTTGTTTATACAATTTAATTATCTTTTATTTTTAAAAAATGAAATATTTAATTTTTAAAAAATTCTCTGAAATCCCTAAATTTCTCTTTCATTAACATTTTATTATCACGACAATGAAGTTTTATTCTCTTGTTGTAAGATTCAATTTATAACATCTCTCGTCTCGAGCATATGCTCTAAGCCCTCTAGAAAATCAAGCGCATCCTCGTTGTTTTAGAAAAAAAATTAATTTTATCTAATGTGTCAAATGAAAAATAAAAAAATTGTATATTTATTATTTTTAAGAAAAGAATATTAGAATTTTAGACCATATTTTTAAAGTTTTAGATTTGTCATTGTCTCTCGTATGTTTATAATATTTGTTAGTTTGTAATTATAAAAGAGTGAGAAGATTGATAGTGAAAATTCGATGATAGAAAAATAAATTGTTGTAATTGATTCGATGAAAAGTGATTATGTTTATTTTAGAATTTGAGTTTTTAAAAAAATTAGAAAAAAATAAGTAAAATAAAGAATTAAGCTAAGAAAATAAGTTTTGTGTCATATTTTTATTTTATAATATTTTTTATAACTATCGGTATTCGTTTCTTTTAGTCAATTAATTCGGACTAGATAGTGTAGAAGTTTAATATGAAGACGATCTTTCCAATCTAGTTTGTTTTATTCGTAAATGTTAAGATTTGACCTTATTTAAGAGATCTAGTATCTCATCTCATTAAATCAATTTAGAGCGGTAAAAATGAGGGTGGTAATTAAAATAATATTATTAG